CTTCGTCGTCTCATGCGAAGAAAGGAGTCTCACCGGCGACAGAGAAGAAGTTTGACCGTATGACTACGACTTCAACGTCTCCAGGGCATAAGGGCGCGAAACGTGAACGCACGGCGATTGCTGACGATGAACCTGATGCGGAGAGTTTACGTTTAATTCGCGAATTGCAAGAGCAGGAGTTTGGCTTGCGCAAGCGAACTACGCGAGTGTGACCTGGTTTGGGCTCTTCAATCACACCCATACTGAAGCGGTTCTATCCATGACGGTTATGACTTCATTTTCCTTTGTCTTTCTGTCTTTCTTTTTATTCCTTTTCTCATAGGTATCCGGCCTGGAAATCGGCAAGGTTGAGAGTGAGAGCCGAGAAGGCGGGATTCACATTTGCGGTTTGGCATTTGGGGAACATCAGGCGGAGTTTCTAAGCGTCCGATTTCAAGGTCATCTTCTGCTCTTTCGGTTGTTTTACAGGATATCGCACACGGCGTTCCATTGCTGGCAAGGGTTCTCCTGGGGTAATCGTTGGTTTTGGGGGTTCCTTCATTGCATTCATCGTTTTACCACAGGGTATTGTTTTCTTACCTTGTTGACTGCTTCAACTACATTTCCTTGTTTCTTCATCGATTATTGATTCCTTACTCGGCGTTTATGTGCGCGTAATGGAACAAACCGGCTGATAACCCAGGTGTATTTCGGCTCAAGGACTTCTTTTCGTTCATTCGTCTTTCTCTGACCAGTTTTTCTTAAACCACGGTTTCAACTTTCATTTGCGTACGTACCCTGGGCTCTTCTCTGTGTTGGAGGGATTAATCGAAGGCCTGAGTCTGGGTCTACTTCTCTCTTCCCTCCTCACAACATGTCCAATACCTCTTTGCCCATTTTTGTGAGCTGAGTACACCGTTTCTCTTGTTGAAGTTGATGGCTCTACCCTGAGAAGCAAGCGCTTGATTGTTCCCCTTGTTCTTCTGTAGGGTTTCCTGATATTTGAGTGGAATGAGCAATTCATTTAAAGCCAGTGGTTCGGTTTTAATATCTCAGGAATATTTGAGTCAAGTCTAATATTTCGACTTAGTTCACATCACGTCTTACGAGTCTATCCCTATGAGGTAATAATCAAGATGCATAAGAACCGCAACACCTGGCCCAAAGTTTGAAAAAAAGATAAAAGCATAAGAATCCAAGTAACTCCACCTTCTGCTGCAGAAAACTCCGACATCGATATAAAAGGAAATCTTGGGTCTCATCATCCGTCATAAGCGTTGTCGTTTCACCGTCTAGCTCCAGCTCCGGGCCTTGACAAGCAAATAAGAAAAAGACTCGAGGGGTATATGCGATAAATGCAACAGATACAAACACTGAAGCAGGGATTCCCACGGGGATACGCTAGGTTGTTCACTTGGAACACATTTCAACCAAACATCGCTTCAGTGCCAACCAGGGCAGCGATGCTTCATTTGAGAAGTACCAGATCACACTTGTTTCTCGTGGGGCTGGGGATTCGACAGGCGCTTGAGCCGCATCTTTTCGCCCACCCAGTCTTTGATCACGCAAGGATCCTCGTCGGGCCCTTGGCACACCTTGCGGCGGTCCAGATGCTTGAACCGCGGGCCCAGGGGACCGTTAACGTAGTGATACTGGCCTGCGAAGCGATACTGTCGATGGTCTCCCAGAGGATAGAACTTATCTCCCCAGTGACCGTTGAAGTAGAACCACTCCGTAGGTGCCAACGGGCTGGCTGTGGAGGCGCGCAACACGTCATTCACATGATCATACGTATACATGTGCGAATTCAAGAGAGGATCCCAGAGAGGTCCTCGGTCCGTTTGGTCATGAAGAAGTCCCCAAGGTAGAACATACGAATGGACACCAGGAGTGGCATACATGGCATGCGTACCCACTGCGGAATAGATGACCGGCTACACATTGGAAACGATTGATTAGCCCCTAACCCAATCAAAATCACCAATGTGGGAGTCGCAACTTACCCGTTGTCCGATTTTCTCCACCGCTTCATAACTATACGCCTCGCCTGCGGAATGTGCACTAAAGAAGAGAGCTTTAGGCTTGCCGTTATAGAAACGGACGAGGCAATGCTCCCAGTCGCCGATGTGGTTGCCGAACCGCACGTTCAGAACCACATTTCCGAGATTGAAACTGTAAAAGAAGAACCAGAAGGCATCGACTATGCCATTGCCCTTGTCCACGACGAGCAGCACTGCAGGCGCCTCACTTCGGCCTCCGGTCTCTTGCATCTTTATCGGTTCGCCACCGTATCGTTTCCGCAGCTCGTCCCTGACCCTCTCGTCCTGCAAAAGATCCTCTGACTTGGAGTAACCGAGATCCTCCAATGGTAGACTGGCTGCTTCGTCTTCCGACATTGATTTGTGGTTCGTGTCATACCATTTTAAGCGGCCCTCGGGCGTATCTCCCGGAATGGCCCCATCCACTCGACCGTCCCAGTCAGACCATGATTCTTCAGAGTGCTCATCTGGCGAAACAGGGATATTCTTTTCTCCTTCCATCCACGGGGGCCGTTCCTCCACATCATCATCACTGGTCAAGAAGACGTAGCGACCATCCTCCCATTGGTTCAATTGGTCCAGATCCTCCAACGTTGGATGATTATGCTGTGACTGCACCGGCGTGTAGTTTAACATTGGCGTGGTGTGGAACAAATGCTCTGCGATATCACATGGCCAGAACTGTTCTTTGGAGAATAGATGCACGAGAGGAGCATATTCAAAAACATAGTCGGGTATCTCTCTGAGCGAACGTTCGGCATCATCCCACTGATTCGCCGGAGGACCCTGTTCTTGGACCCAGAAGGACCGCCACGGAGCGGCCTCGTCTTGCGCCCAGACAGAGGCATTGGACTCCGTGAGGACTTTCCGCTGGCCGAAGCGCGGACCAACCGTGTGGAAATGAGCGGTACCGCAAAGACTCAGCCAGCGACAGGCTTTACGGTCAAACCACGACCGGGAGGATGCGATCCAGCGCTGCTCATCCCTGTCCTCATCGTACCAGATGAATGCGTCCGGATTCAAGGCACGTACTAAGCTATTGATTGAAACATACGCGATCAGTGAAGACAAAATGATAATGGCGCCTTTCGCTTTGCCAATCATCTGCTCCACAGCCAGGGAGAGAGCCCCGACGTTGGATGTATTTGCTCTAGAAGAAGGATCAGGCACCGAGGGATCAGCCCGGTGATTTTGGGCAGTACTGGTCGACGTGGCCGCTATGGTAGTAGTAGTAATGGTAGTAAGGCTTAAAGATGTCCCGGCTGGGATTGCACGGCCAGGCGCAAGTGAGATCGGGATGGTCAAGGAAGACTCCTCAGAGGGAAATGAGGAAAGATGAGGGTCATGAGAGGTGACTACGGGGCAGAAGACGAGGAGCGTGTACAAAAAAGAGCAGAGAGTCAGGGCAACTAGGCCCGAAGATGGAGGGGACGACACTATAAGAAGGCATTGCCAGGTTAGCAGTGGTCGAGAACAGCTATGACCAGTACCACTACCGACTTGAGTGATGGATCCCGTGCGCAACGACCGAGTCAGGGTAAAAGAAAATAAATACAAAATAATAGAAATCCGAACTCATGGACAGAAAGGGAAAGACAAAAGCTACGGATCATCCAGTCAGAAGGAGGGACCGGGTATAACGGAAGGGGATTAGATAATTCTGAGGGTCATGGTTGTGAATATGACAGACATAGATGAAAAAAAAAAAAGAGCATTCTTCAAGGGAGAACGTGAGAGCAGCAAAAAGTGACGGATGCATGTAGAACAGTGGATAGCGAGCGTGCAAATCAGCTCCTTGCTTCCGCGCAGAGCCGGACTGACAAATGTGTGCCAATGATGATGCAGGCGGACAGGGGAGGACCAGAAGGGCAAATCGGATCGGCAAGCAGGCAAGTATGAACCGAACAGGGAACATGAACATGGAGATGATCGAATCAACAGAGGGATCTGGACGGAGGTGCATGGGGTTGTCTCTGAACGGAAGACGACGGATGTGGATAACACCATTGGTGATCATCCGTAGGGCAGAGCATTATTAATGCTTTGATTGCTTGGTTATTGCAGATGGATCTCGATGGAAACATGGAAGCAATTGATGACAACAATAGATGATGATGATGATGATGATAAATAACGAGCAGCTTACTTTTTGTGGATGGTTACCGTGTTTACTGTTGACTTTTTGGCTGATATGGAGGGGTAAGACGAGGGTAGGTAGAGAAGACGGGATGGGATGAAACCGGGGATTGGAATGATGGAGGATGATGGAAGAATAATGAATGCAGCCCGAAAGGATGAGATCACCAGGGACGATCCAGACTGAAGGAATTGAGTTAAGTTAATCTTTGCAGACTGACAAGCACAGGGAAGATCATCATGACGGTGTTCGTACAACACTCTATATCCAGACTACAGTAGTAGAGAATATAATAATGATAATGTTCTCTTTCCTATCAGGCAGATAATACTGCTACTGTATGTTGATATTCTCCAACCCAGACAGTACACCTAGGGTAACTCCGTACAGTAGTCTAGTATCTTATCATGGGTCAGCCCTGCGGAAATCCAACATCGTCATCGATAATCCCTGTCCCTCCATCCTCACCCTCGGCCCTTCATCAGCCATCTAGCACAAACAGGGCTAAGGTAGTCTAACACTGTCTAGTCTAGCAGAAGTTAGATAACAAGCCTGCGACCGCCTGATTCCCAGTCCCAGTCCCACAAGGTGTTATCCAGCGGATCCAGTGGAGTTTCTGCCCGCCGCCTTCTTTTCTGTTATCCCTTCGCCCAAGGGGGAAAAAAAAGGGTCTCGAGCGCTTAAGGTAGCTAGCTATCTATCAATCTATCTAGAGGGATACTGTGACTGTCAAATCTAATTTTTGATTTCAACAGGGTTGATCATTTGAACTTTGAACTGGCTAGTCGTTCTCGTCGTTCTTTCCAACTAGCTATTTATGCCCAATGATCCTGCCGGCCTAAATCATGCAGTCTCATTCCGAGCCGATATTGGTCTTGGACCCGGCCATGTTGACAGATGAGGATCATGACTCCGACTACGAATATGAATACCACGAGGTCGACACCGAGGTATGATTGATTGCTTGTTCCTTTCACTCTTTCTAGGCGTTCGCTTGAGCTTATTTTGTTTCCCGTACGGTCAGACCTTCTACCTCAATCTCGACCTTACCTCCCTTCACGGCCCCATCCGTCCTCCAAGACGCCGTGATCCCGCTCCGTCTACTGCTGCAGTTCCAACTACCCTGACGCCGACCGATGACCATGGACCAGCCATTGACAACACCGAGCCTGACAACGTTCCTTCAGAGCGCGTCCAAATCCTAGGCCTTCACACCTCCAACCCAATAGTCTCGTATCAAAACCAAATCTTCAGTTGCACATGGGCAGACCAGATTGGGACAGAGCTGCTCTTCACTCGTCCAGAGACGGGTCACGAACCCGATCTAGAGTCTGCATTGCCGCCGATCCCTTCGTTGAGGAGCAGTAAGGATTTTGACCTCATTGCCGCCAACAGCGTCAAAATTCTCGGTCGCAAAGCGAACCTGATCTCCAGTTCCGGCTCAGGGTCAGCTCAGGAGCCCTCTATACAAACAACCGAAACGGCGAACGTGCTTCGCAAGACGGGACCACAGTCGAATCAAGCTCGATTCCTGGAACGGCTGATGCACATCAAGAGGCAAAGAGGTGAGAGCGACACTGTGCGCACTGTCTTCAGTACGAAACGTACGCAGAATCTGGAGGATCGACTACGAGGCTGGGCTCGAACGGAGGAGGAACTTGCAGAGGTCCAGCGGCTTAGCGAAGCTGCGAGTCGAGGAGATGCCGCGGCATTGACCGCGTTGGAAGAGCTCTACACCGAAATTAACGGCCAGAAATTTGGGCCGGGGATGTCGGACGAACCGACCCAACCCAGTTGATGTGCCTACAAAGTTGGCCTTTGTTATTCACCAGTTAACCTGCGAGGCCTACTTGAATCGATTGCAGCGTGCCATTGAAGTTATATGGACGACTGTTTGGCCCAATACCGCGATGCAGCTCGCCAGCATCAAAATTGATCCGCCATGCGGTCACTCGAGGCAGTTCAAGTCTCGGTCGATGATGAGAAATCTGGTCGGTAACGCACTCGGTTGAATCACAGAGACCCTTTTCGACCTTGCTATGCAGGGCACAGTGGTTGAACGGTAACTACTGGGCCTTGGATACATAATACTCTTTGGTTGCTCTCGCCGCATTCTCGACTGAGCTGGCCAACTTGCCATATGTTTGTCCTGTCTATTGATCCTGGCAAGGATTGAACCGGAAGAACCCATGCATCATCGTGATATTGCTTACATCTGACGTCTCAACTCAATCCCCTCGTCTTGTGGGACTGTGCCTGCAAACAACCCATCCCATTGACTGATATATTAAGCGCAATCTAGTCCGTGGATGCATCCTATGAGACGGTGGGAATGAAGCAATGAGATGTGATTATGAAGGCTCGCTAGCTAGTCGATATTATATCAGACGGTAAACGACTCGTGGCGCCATGAAGATCCGAAACTAAATCAATCAATAAAAATTGGCAGTCAATACCCTGCTTTTCCAAACCGAACCATTCCTAATGTACTCTGACAGAACCACGGAGAAACAAATGAGGCACGCTGAAAAAGCACAGGAAAACAAAAACTGAAACAACCTAAAATCCGACTCCATAAAACAGCAGAAGAATCAAAGTCGCAATGCAAGATTTATGGTACTCCGTCGCAGCCAAGGCAGCAGCTGGTAGCGACGGTCAAGCTCGTTTCCCCTCTCTCCCCCAGAAACAATGTGTTGATCTTGACTCGACGGGCGACGGGGGAGGCGGAGGGGGATACTCCAATGCCCCGTGAGGATGCGAGTCGAGATGGATGGATTTGGGGCCGTCGGCGGACGCGAGGATCGCGCGGGAGATGTCCTGGGTGAAGGTCGTGGGTGTCACGAGGGTAGGACGGGAGGGAGGGTGTGAAGGGATGGGTGAGGCCATTGCGACTGATACGTGTGGTTGAATTGATGTTGAAAATGAGACGGTTACCGAGGTGAGCTGGAGAGTCCGATGGAAAGATACTGAGGTAGGAGTACAATTGGCAAAAATGGGCTGAGCTGGCTGGCCGAAGCTGTATAAATCTATATTAGATGGAATACCCTTGTTAGCTACCTTTATTCCGAGAGTGATACCTCCGAGAATCCCCGATGAAGGGAGTAGGGCCGAAACAGAGTGAGGAGAACAGCTCCATCGCCGAATGCCATGTGATGTAATCTTTGAGTCTTTGGAGAAGGCGAATCGCTCGTGAAGATCCTTCATCGGGGACAGGGAAGAGAAACGCAAACAGAGTGTACGTACGCTGGAGGATTATCCCGATGATGTAATGATATACAAGGTCCTCGGCGATCTCGAAAGGCTGCTGGGTTGTACAAGCAGCGTGGGATGGGCTAAGCGAAAGAATATGTAGTCTCAAGTCACAGCAGTAGATGGTATGTCAAGAGATCTTGATATTGTATGGAGAGACAGTACAGAGAGCTGAGGGTACTCAGGGCTCTGGATACAACACTATAGAGTGGTAACAAGTGGCTAGCTGTAAGCCGGTGAGCTGTCCACGGGGCGGGACAGAGCAGATAGAGAATGTGGTAATATGCTCTGGAAAAACTGAAGAGAAGCAGCAGAGATTGGAAAAGTTAAATGAATGATCAAGCATCTAAAGGACGTAGGGTGACATCCACCCGATATAAATGAGGATTGGATCGGGGGCCCCAGCCAGGAGCTAGTTAGTGTACATTGCTGAAGCATCCAGTCAAACATCCATAGATCATTTTAATCGTATCGGACAAATATTAGGTAGTATTATTTTTATAATTAATTTTTTTTTTTTTTTTTTTTTTTTTTTTTTTTTTTTTTTT